TCAGTGCTATACTATTCCAAATGTTTCCTCACTGAACTGGTATTGAAATAGTCGAAATATCAATTTACAATTATTGTTCATAATTCCGAAACTATAAACATTTGTTATATAAAAAAAATCTAACAAACTTAGAATCGTAGAATCTGAGAATGCAATAATATTCAAGGTATCCCATTAAAAAAAGAAGAATTTATTTGTCGCTGCGCGTTTTTGAGACACTCGAAATAAATGAAAATTAGAATTCCTGGAAGTAGATAATCGCGTTTCAAGTTGATAGGGTGTATACCGTTTTCTCTTCGCAAAACCATCAAATTCAGAGAAAAATGTATATTAAGAACGATCAAGAAATATGATTTCGAGGAAAAATAATTGAAGGATACACTAAAGACAAACTCTAATTTGAAAAAGAAATTATACCGATACCGCTTTATATTCAACAAGTTCTTTATCTATTTCATATCAACTAGAATCGAACAATGAATATCGATGATGATGCTGGTCAGTTTTTTTCAGTCAGCTTCATTAGATGAAGTAGAAAATATTACTCTAGCGATGTGAATATTAGCCCGAAATCTTAGAAATATTCAGAGATACACCTGACAATCTCGTACCACAAACCACAATAAGAAATAAGTTATTGAAACAGCGGGAAGCTTTAATAGATATTAGTCCGGGTGCACACACCGAATTTTTAAAGGGATTTTCACAAGAGTCGTTACTTATATATTGGGCATCACTGTACATGATTCGAGAATTTTACATATTATACAGATACTTAAAAATTTGGAAAGCGAAACCAGGTACTAACCTGATACGACTTAGCTATTGAAATAATCATATCTTATGTTGAAAACGGGAGTAGAATCGGTACCGAAACGTCCAAAGATAAGTACAAATTTGATATTTTTTCTATATACCTTTATTTCTCTTCTTCAAACTTTTTTCGATACAAATTGTCACTGACAAGCTAGTGAAATTTTGTTTTGGGCTCTCTGGTAAGGAAATTCTTTGAACTCAGTGACATTTTGGGGCAAATCATCTGATTTGTCCTTACTACACGTATATTGAAATAATATCCATATTTTTATTTTATAGAAACGAGGAGAGAAAATCCCAAAAAATTTGGAATAATGAATGTACCACCTCCTCGATTAACCTACAGACAGTATTTAAATAATTATATGTTTCACATGGCAGAAAAGCAGTTTCAATGCCTTGGATGGATTCTTAGCCTCGCTACGCTCGACTATGAACTATCAATCGCGGCAATAAATCTTGTGCTTTTCTGCGAAATAAAACCAATAACTATTTTCTGAAAAATTATTATTTGTGTCACTTACCGATGAATCAATTCAGTCACATCTCATTTTGATCAACAATTTTTTTTTCAAATCTAACCCCTATATGGGCCACCTACATTATTTGTCTAGAATACACATTGAGGAAAAAATTACATGAAATTTTTGTATTTCGGTGCAATTACGAATTGTACCTATACCTATACATTCAAAAATCAGCAACTTATTCATGAATTTTCTTACAATTCGATAATCTTTCAACTAATTAAGCTGTAGAAAACAACATTTATATTTGGTATCTTGTCAATTAATTGTGAAGAAACTATATTTCTCTGTAATGTGCGATTCATTGTGAATAGCCTTGGCCACGAGGCAATATAAAAACACCGTTTTATTTCGAATTATTTCAAAACAATGAAATTTGACATAAACATTGCACTCCTTTCGACCTGTTGAACTTGAATATGTAAAAAGATATATCCAAGATGTTCCATTTGAAAAAACAAAGTTGCTGGCATTTCCAGTGTAAACGGAAGTCAACCATATTGAACAGGGTGTCCCAAAATTGCTGAGACACAGTGTTACCACGTGTAATTGAGGTCCAAATAAATTGATTGGACCAAATTTATTTATATACCAGTATGTAACATTTGTCCGTGAGAAGAGTGCAAAGTTTACATAAGAAAAAACAGGTGCATCTCATTTTTTTACTTCGAATTGACTTTTGTATTGATAGAGGTTACCGTCATATTGAATTTTTATTAAAAAAAAAACGTTTTACCTTTGTTTTCACTTTCATCAAAATTTTTTATTACAAATAAACTTGTACTGGGAATATTTGTTAGAATCATCGAATGAAACATGTCTCCCCTTCGGAAATATAGGGGAGTAGGTACGAAGTTTTGACTAGAATAACAGAATGAAGATAATTAATCTGTCTTCTCGTTGAAAAAAACAATAAAACCGTAGGAATGTTCTGAAAAAAATATCCAGAGACGAGCTTAGTTTCAATCTTCCTACATTTTTTTGAGGGTCTACTTATTTCTGAACAGCGAACAAAAATGACTTTTTTTATGCAAACTTTGAACTCTTCTCTCAGACAAACGGTACATTTTGGTATATAAACTAATTAGGTCCAATCAAACTCATTTTGACCTCTATTACACGTGGGAGCTCTGTGTTTCAGCAATTTCATCCTTAGGACGTTCGATTTTGGTACCGCAGACGTCCATTGGACGTGTATGGGACGCACAGATGTCCCACTTGGGGACCAACAAGGGACGTCCTTAATTAATGTCCCTGGGAGAACTACGGACAAGATCCGTAGGACATCCTGTCAGCAATGCTGAGGGACGTACGAATTATTCTTGAATTTGGATATATTTGGGTATTCCTAGGACCAGATCTTGCATAACTGATAAGGACATCCAGTTGAGTTGACGGTCCGTAGAAAGTTCCCAATGAATCCTGAAGAAGGTTCTCAAGAGATCCTATCAAAAAAGTTTCTCAACGATGTCCAATGGACTTTCGTGAAGGAAATGACGGCGAGGGGAGTTACTATAGCCTACGAGCAGTCGATCTTCGGCGTGGTGTTAGTTAACGTCCTCTCAAGGACAACATATTTTACGTACTCAGTGGGACGTCCGAAGGACGTTATTTCTAGGACATCGAAAGAAGAAACGATCATTCGCTTACCAGAAGGATAGTTATATATATGATGTCTCTCTGAATCATTCCACAGGAAGGACTTTGAGCAATATGGACTTCTACCAAAGATTCTCTGAATCATTGATGCCAATTCATGAAAATCATCCATATCTCAAAGTGGTCCAAAGTAATTTCAAAATTGGTCGACCGACTTTGAGACAATTGTTGTTTTCCTTTTGAAATTGATGCCAATGTATACCACCGATGGATGTCCCTTAGGACACATTCCTTATCGTATCCAGGACATTCTTAGGAGGTTTTTGAGACGTCCATACGTTGTACTTATGACATCTCATGAAATTACATTCCCTGAAGGAAATTTTTGTACTTATTACTTAAAAAATGTGGATAACAGTTCGTATACCAGTTGTAACATCCTAAGGGACATTTTGAACGATCTTGTGAATATTAAGGGCATCCGTACAGAGATATTTGAAGAAATGTACCGTCTGAGACATTTTATTTTTGTTCTAGATGGGCATTATATGAGATCTGTAGTCATACCAGAATATGTACTACTTGGGATATCTGATGGATGTCCCTGAAGGAACGTTCAAAATTATATCCCATCAGGTCCTTGCATGGACATTCTACAATATGTACCACGTGAGACGTCTAAAGGATGTCATTTTTAGGACATCTGAAATGACGTACCAGCTGGAGCATTCCATGGACGTTCTTGCTACGGGATAGGTTGTAACAGAAACAATTATTCCAGGTCTTGGACATTCGGACTTGAATTGTACCAAATAGGGACATCCCTAGAACGTTGCGTGCTATTTGGTATAATATACCGAGTGACCCAAATTATCGCAAACAGGCAATATCGCGCTTATTTGTCAGGATAGTTGAAAAATTCAAATAATCCGTTGAATAGCATTGTACAGGGCTAGTTTAATTAATGTGAACACCCGTTCATCTTCTTTGTTTTATATCCATTCAAGAAGATTCAAATCTGATTTTTCCACGATATTCCATATTGGTTGTCTTCATATTGAGAGAGTGTTGCAATATCTCTTCGAATATACAGGGTATAAAAAATATATTGACTTTTTTATATGTTTGAAATCAGGATGATTCATTTTCAAATTCATCGAAATATACAGGGCGTTTCATTCTGAAAATATATTTATTTCTGTATACCCTGTATATCTGAATAGATATTGCATCATTGTCAAACTGAATGAAATCTGTGCGAAATATTGTATAAAATCAGTTTTGAAATTTTTTGAATGGGTGAAAAACGAAAAAGATAGAGGGGGGTTCACATTAATAAAACTAGTCCTGTACCTTCCTGATGACATATAAAAAAATTCATTATGTTTGACACTTCTCTGGCAGCTACCTTCCACATTTCATTCTCAAATGGCATTCCCTGTTTATTTCCATTGGAAATAAAGTGTCACTCAATTTTAAATACAACGATAGCGTACACTAGGCATTTTCATTGATAACAAAAATATCAACATTTTGTGACTTGTTTTAAGTTATACTCAATTATCCCTATGAAAATGAAATATTGCCTCCGCTCATGTTTTTTGTTTCAAGAATACAATGCTTCTCATGTCATAATAATTTTGAACACTTGCTGTGATTTTTAGTTCATTTTTCGATTCGCATAAAAGCTATTTCAGTTGAAATTCATTCAATGTTGCTGTTTTTTTATAATAATAAAAAAATACCAAGTATACTGGGGGTGCCATTTGAAAATAGAAGTGGGGAATAGCTACCAAAGAACTGTCGAATGTAATAGATTCGTTAAAATGGCATGAGGAAGGTACTCCAATGCCATTCAATGCAGTTTCTGAATTTTTCAATTATCTTGTCAAATAAGCGCGAAATTGCCTGTATACGATAACTTGGGACACCCGGTATACTCCATAAATCTTATCAGATTGATTTTTTATTTCATTGTTTCAAAATGGATCAACTGATAAAGTCATAAAAACCGACCTGATATTAACCCAAACAAACAATAATGCCGAGCATTCAAGAACATTAAAATTAATTTATTTATGAAATAATCACAGTCAACGTCATCAGAATGTAAACATCACTTAATTTTCTTACATGTGCATCAGATCACTGATTTCTTGAATCCTGAATCAATAGTACAGTCGTTTCATTTAACACCTCTCAGAATATCTTGAATTTCTTCCAAAGTTTTACCTTTCGTTTCGGGAACTAAAAAGTTGACCAAAACGGCTGCTAACATTGTGCATCCACAAAATAAGAAAAATGAAGCCCAAAGACCCACATACAAATTTATATTATAAAACAGTATATTGGTTATAACAGTCATCAATCCGAAAATGGTTGTCACGACACAAACCCCTTTAGCCTTAACGCTCACTGAGAACAATTCCGATAACATCAGTGTTGGTAACAGACCAATCCCAAACGAGCAGAATAACACGAAAGCCATCATATCAGCTAGTGGAAACCATTTAACGCCACTAAGATCTACATCCGGCTGATAGGCTTCCAAATAGAAATAAACTGCTTCTGCTAGAAGAGCTATGGAAGCAAGCACCGACGAAGTCACATACGATTTTCTCCTGCCAAGCTTACTCGAAAACACGGAAGATAACGTATTCAGAACGAAACTCACTCCCATGTAAATCATGGATGATACTGCTGGACCAACAGATCCTCCAGACTTTGCGAAAATATCCTGATTATAAGCAGCGAAGGCAAACATACCACTATACAATTGAGCTACTCTGAGGAAGATACCAGCAATCAAGGCACTCCTATTACTTTTAATCATCACTAAATCCCTCCAAGTTCCAGACTCTGACATTTGACGTTTTATGGCAACTTGTAGCTCGTTGAATTCTTTGTCAACATTTTTCATACGTCTCAACCAACGCAAAGATTCCTTGGCCTCCTCATCTCTGCCTTTGATGATATAGAAATATGGAGATTCTGGCATGAAAGAGAAAGTCAACACAAATATAACAGGTACAATCAAACAAATATAAGCAGTTTCCTTAATACTGAAATAAGCACCGATGACGTTGATCAAAAATTGTCCGAGGAACATGGAGCAGGTCATATTGCAACCCCATATGCCCCTCACCTTAGGGGTAGTGATCTCCCCTAAATAAATCGGTAAGGAAGAGAACTGCAAGGCGTCTCCACAGCCTACTAGGAACCTGGCTGCATACAGCGCGTACAAGTTTGTACTGGTCGCTTTGATTATCCATGACAGGGAATGAGGAATTGCTGTCAGCAAAATGGCTTTCTTCCTTCCAATAGAATCGGAAATTGATATGGTCATCGGTGAGACGATGCAGATTGCTGCCATGTTTAGAGCTGTGAAATATGAAGCTTGATCTTCGGTGATGTCGTAATTGACTTTGTCTTGGGTTATTTTTGGCATGAATGGTGATGTCCATGAGATCAAGAGGCCACTAGTCAGAGCTGAGAGGCAACCTGAAATACCAATATTCGTGTTCATCAAATGATAATAACATGATCGTATCTGATGTCTGATCAGATCCAATAAATATCTGAGAGAAAATTAAAAGGAATTAATATACATCGTATATATGTTGTTCCGGTCCCAATCAACATTTTGTTTATTATTTTCCATAGAAAAAATGTATGCAAATCATTGATTATATGTATTTGGAATGAAGTTAGCGCGAAAGCAATATCAATAGAGGTCGTGTGCAGGAGGAAGCACGTGACCACTCCCTCCATAATTGTGGCCAGGAGGACACGGGGAACAGGAAGCTAACTTGTCATGATTGTGTGATCTCAGTTTTTTCCATCAATTTCACCATTGGACAATCCATTTTTGCTTTGATCTAGCCCAGATGTGTCAGGGTGAGTTCATGATTTTCGCAAATATATAGGGAATTAGACACGAATCTTGATCTGACCTGCCTCAAATTCGCTAGACAGCCGTTTAAGATGCAGATAGGTGCTGTCGAATCGAATCCGGTTTGTCTTAACATGATTCTCAAAATGCTATCATTATATTTTCCTGGCAGCACCTTGGCGCCCTTGTGGTGGTTCAGAATCGACTATGAGCTGTAGGTCCCGCTCTTCAAAGCCCCACACAATTGTCGACTTCTGGGAAGTTGGTTACCAACCTCGAAGTAGCGATATACAGAAATTTATCAACAAATTGGAGTCTGGAAATGTGCTCTCACTACGAGGAGCACATACTATTCGTTCTGTAATCATATAAGTACTGATGTCTGAAATGTTTATGAAAAACCGGTAGGAATCAATGTTTGAGGAATGTCAGAAAGCGAAACAAAAAAAAACATTCGCTAGAATCATTGTTATAATATTTCTGTTGAAAACTGGAAAAGATTCATTCCAAAACGTCCAAAGATGAGTGATATTTTGATATCCAAACATTTTTCAAAACAGTGTCACATCGACTACCTATTGATTGAATCTTTCTGTCCTAGTATCAATAATAGAGCAATCATTAAATCCATTGATATTTTGGGACAATTTATCTGAAATGTCCTTTCTACACATATTATATTGGAATAGTAGTTATATTTTCATTTATAGAAACAAAGAGGGAAAATCTAGAAAACCGAGAGAAATGAAAATTACATCACGATTTACCTACAGCTAATTAGGAAACTTCAACTTGGTTCTTTCTCATTCATGTGAATCAGATCATTCATTATGACTGTAGAACTCTTATTTCGCGTCAATTGATTTGAGATTTGATATGGAGCTCAATTTTTAAATTGAGAATTTTTCGGAGATTTTGTCATTGAAGTTATGGAATGAGATCTAAAATTCACCCAGAATCTATCGTAGATTCTATTCATGGTATGATAAAAAAGTATGGTATGAATAACAATAGATATATTTATCTGGCAATATACCAACATTTTCTAAAAGCAGACAAATTTGATAACAACTGTGTCTAATGGTTTCCATAAATCAGTGTGTATAAAATAATCTGAGAATGCAGCTAATTGGTGTGACAATAATTTAAGAATGATAATATTTGAGTGTTTTTCTCAACTGTTACATAAAATGAAATTAGAATATACCTACTGATTCTCAGAAACCAGTTTGGAAGCGGTACATTTTTCGGAAAGTATTTGAAGGTCATGAAACAAAAATCTCACCTAGTATAACAGCTAAAATTTGTGGCCAATCCTTTGCCTCCTCAGTGATGGCTTCATCTTCAACTTTTTTTCGCATCATCATCGTGACTGTTTTATGATTCTCTCATAACCAGATGATTACCATAAAATGTACATTTATCTCTGTGCTCAGTTGATATTTCAACTAATTTGATAAGACACCAAAAACAAAACTAACATCACTTTGATTTCAGTTCCGAATATAATGTGGTGAAATTCTTTATCATTGCTATTTATAAAAATAATCTCAACCCAGTAAAGCTATTTTTCATATACAGGGTTGGGATAGAATATGGAACCAAGCACTTTGAAATGACAAAGACGAAATTTATGATTTTTTGCAGATGATTATGTTAATAATGTGCTTCCGGTTTAATCAGAAATACACTCAACTTTTTTATTTCAATGGGACACTGTATTTCTTGCAAATTTTGATAGAACTTGATATTTAGAATTCTTAAATACTGAGTTTACTGGGTATAATATAGGGTGATTTACGTAGGCCACACATTAGAAGTTTTCCAACTTGCATGCAGTTGGATTAAGAGCTTGAAAATTTGTATGAGTAGGAATTGATCATTTACAATCTACCTGGAATATTTTCAGTTTCAAAAATGTTATCAGTCTGTTTCTAAAATATTAACTTGGTTCCATACTCCATCCCAACCCTGTATTCAGTGCATATTGAAATAAAGTATAATGATATGTCAGAATTATTTCCAATTCAGATCAAACCTTCCTTCCTTGGATACCTTCGATTATAATTCAGTATAATTGCAAAAAATCACTCAGTAACGTCAGTAATGGTGTCAAACTGTATTGGATATAATACTTTCTATATCTTTAATAAACGAAATAAAAGTATCAAACCATTAAACAATAAAAATATAAAAATATAGATAAGGCGCTATGTACCTATTCATTATTTTCCTCGTAAAACGTTTTGATGGAACGATTGCGTACCGCGCTTTTTTTTCCTGTCCACTCTTTTCTTGAATTTGTCAAAGTATTCGCAGAAAAAAGAACTCCTCTCATTCAATGATTCACTTTCACTGTGTACGTATATCTGCAATTACTGTATCTGACGATCAAAGGTAGGGAAAAGAAAGATATACAAAGTGTTACAATTTGCACCACTCCACCCCTGTACTACTCAAAATTATATTCTCTGTCAAGCGGAAAAAATTATCAAACACAATTTCTCAGCCTACTGCGATCACAAAAACTTCGGCAAAATTGAAGAAAACGGATTAGGCATTTCTTCCAAAATTTTGGTAGTGGCGATCGAATCAGACTATCCACAAATACTCCCATATCATAAGAAAAAACAATTGGACCACTTTGAGAAATATGGATGGTGTTCATGATTTCATTTACTCCTATATCAATTCTTAAAACAATATCTCATATAGGGTGTTTTTTACTAACGTTACAATTTTTGAATACTTGCATTTTTCAAGTCACCGTGTATAATATATTTTTTTAAAGAATTTGAATAATACCAGACATGATGGTAGTCAGGATTAGATCATCTGGCTACAGTGTGAGAAATTCAGGCCAAGAAATAGAGGAGAGTTGCGACAAATAATAATAACAACAGTTTGCAAAGGAATACCACCAGAAGAATTGAGGAGAGTTGAAAATAATGTGCGAAAGAAATATAAAAAGCGTAAAGGAGTAACTTTCACCTCTTCTGGCCTCTTCCACGAAATGGCTACTGTTACGTCTAACAAATCAAAACAAGCCGTGGGATCAATTCTACCGATCATGGCTAAAGCAAAAATTGATACTTGGCAGCCTAGAATTAAATTGTTTGAGTCAATGGCTCTCAGCGTTTTATCTAACTCCATTCCGGTATGGAGCTTAAGGTATTTGGACGTTTTAGAACGAGTTCAACTAAATTCTTTAAAAAGAGTTCTCTTAGTACCTTCGAATACCCCAGATGCCATTGTTCGCCTTGAGACTGGGAGAGTCAAATTTGCATACAACGTATTCAAAATGACCCTTAACTGATTCAAAAAATTCATTCAATGGAAAATAAACGATACCCCAAACTTTGCTTATTACAACAACTCCGTTTGATCAATACAGCTGATGACAAATATAATTGGTTACTAAAGGTGAAAAAATTCTTTGCAGATATATAGGTTGCCTTGAAACCTGGAATAATTTGAGTGGTATAAATGGGACTTGTGAGAAACAGCTACTAACAAAATATTATGCTTATTTACATGGGTTAGATGCGTCTATAGCCTCCCGCTACTAATTTCTGTGTATATATAATCTATTTGACATTTCGTATAATCCAAGTACATATCTACTTTTGAAATTACCAATTCAGGTCACTCGCCCTCTTGCTCAGTTACGCATGTCAAATGATTTTATGATTAAGTTCACCTTAAATGGGATTATTTATAAAATTGATCCAAACCTAACTTGTCCTGTATGTAGCAGAAACCTAAATGAGACACTCATACACATGCTCTTCGATTGCCCAATATATACTGTTATGAATCAGAATATTCCCTGCCTTCAGAGTGTTGATTCATTGATTGTTGCACTTAAAATAACAAGCTAGAACTATTGCTACTTATATTTGGAATATTCTTAAGCTTCGTTCATTCATCCTTACCGAATAACATAATATATATAGCTTGTTATGTTTATTACTATAATGTAATGCACATTATTATCATTAATTTGTATCTGTCTGTGATTCTTTTTTGTTATCTCTTAACTCTCACTCGAATTCATTGCTGTAAACAATATGTTTTCTATACGCAATTAAATATTATTATTATTATTATTAAACATAAAAAGCGTACAGAGAATGATGAAGATTTGATCGAGAATACAAAAATCTCTACTTGTTATAGGAATGGTTGCTGTTTTAGTTCCTTTTTTCATGATATATTTTGATTAGTATTATTTAGTTTTTTTTTTCTCTTCTCATTTCTTGATTTTAATCGGTATTTATCTCACTCTGTAGACATATGATCTAATCCTGACTACCATAATGCCTGGTATCATCAAAATTCTTATAAGAATGATTATACACGGTGACTTGAAAACTGCAATTGTTGAAAAATTTTCACGTTGATAAAAAACACCCCTTATGAGATATTGTTTTGAAAATTGATATGGGAGTATTTTTTGTTGTTGAGTAATTTTTTTATAAAAGTGCCTGCCCCGTTTCCTTTGATTTTGACGAAGTTTTTGTGATCACAGTAGGCCAAGCAATGGTGTTTGATAATTTTTTCTGCTCGACAAAGTAGATAATTTGGAGTAGTATTGTTGTGTACCAAGCAGGGAGAAACAAGAGTAATTTCGATGGATCAGGGTTAACTAAACTTCATTCACTGTTGAGGTTACAGAGAAATTATTATACTCTTACTACCTGAACATTTCGATCCAAGATTCTGAAGTGAACTGTGAGAAGAAGTGCATCAAGAAAAGAATGCACCAGCAAAAATGCACTGTCAACACAGAGCTCGGTTGCAGAGGGCGATTCAAAGAATTATACGTGCTTATCGCCTTGCTCAATTTGCGATGAAAAAAGCAAGTTCTAATATTAAATTATAATATGTGAATAATGGTATACTGAGTGTTAAAGAATGATATGTCCATTATACATATAAGCAGTTATAGTTAATACCACTAGTCAATAAGAACATAGCCATCTCTGATAGAATTAGCCCGAATTCACTGTTCTTATATATGCAAAATTCGCTACTAGAACATATGCTGTCATGATCATGGCTACTAGATTTTAATCAGAATGGAAAAGAAGTGCTTTCATAGTGACAATAGATCCATATTTCAGTTTCACAGAAATATTATAGTGATTGAAATAACCTGCTAGTAGTGAAAATGATTCAATATACACCTTGGTGGTAAAGAATACTATTACCACGGCTGAAGCTCGGAATATGATCTTGGTCCCTGGGTAATACTGATATTATTTGCTACCTTGGTGTATAAATAACTATTATTACCCTGATGAACTTCAATGCCCTACTAGTAGACATTTCTCAATAAACTGATCGAAAATAGATTAGGATATTGTGTTTTTGCTGAGGTGATTCTTTCACAAAAAATGTGGTATATGTTGTTTGCGTTTGAAATTAACCTTTTTTCGATCAGTTCATTTCCTCAAAAAAATGTTTCACCCTGATTCTGATTTGGCAATTCCAAATTCTTTGAGGTATTTTGTTATGTTGCATAACGCAAAAACTGCAATTGAGAATACGACGTAATAGTATATTATGTAACAAGTGTTATAAACGTCCTTTTAGTAACGAGTGTCTATAAGAGTTTATAAACGCGTTACATAATATGCTTTTTCTACGAACTCCTAAAATTACATTGACATATCTGCTATTCCTGCTAACCTACAAAATAATTCGAAAGGAATGGGAATTGAGAACATAATACATGCAACTGCATGCAACCAGCGAGACACGTATAAGTGATATTGGTTGTAGATGTGTCCAGTCCATTGCTTACTAACCTTTGTTTCACGTTTATTGTCATGCTTAGCGCAGAATAAATAAATTGTTCCCAAAGATGGATGCTTCATTTTTACACTTCTTGGAGGTATGCAAGTACCAAAACATTCTCTTCGATTTCACTTTCGTCTACATTCCGCATATATTTTTAATGAAGAACTCTGATTCAAACGAATATTGTTTGAATAATTCTGATACAAAATTTGAAAATAACAGTTGACAGTTCCTACAATTGACTGGCCAGACATGTCTCAAATTACTGAAGCTGTGTTTAATGAACTGTGTTGCCATGGTAATGTGTTTAGGGAATCGTGTTGCCATGGTAACGTGTTTAAAATTCTGAATAAATCACAGATCGTCAATCCGTGATTAATCGATCATTTAGCGTGGTACATATCCGTACGCTAAATGCCATTTTAGTTATGTGAGTAGAAAAAATTAATTATTGTTTCATTCACGAAAAAACGAGTAAAATAGTAATGACAAATACAAACACTTATTGTATTACTTACTTACATACTTACTGTTGAAAATATCCTATATTTTTTTTCATTCGAAGTATTTTGTAAATATAAGGAAACATTGAATTCAGCAAAAACAGTCTATTCAAATTCTTATTGTGCGTTTTCAATAGATGTAATTCAATGTTCGTCGTGGCATAGTGAGAAAAGTATTTGTTTCCAGTTGAATATACCGAGAAAGAATTTATATTCTTATGACATAGAGAATTCGAATTTTCAATGTATTTATTCATATGCATCCATTTTTCATTATATAAACAAGATTATACATGCACAAAATAATGAATAAGCTATTTCCGTAAAATGAATGATTGTACAAAAAACGTAGTTGATTGGCACAACTGGTATATTAACAAAGTGACACCTATTTCTACTGTGACCTATATCTTATCGTCCTTACAAGTACTCGTAAAATTGATGACTGTTGATAAGTATAGTTATGAAATGGACCATGAATGAAGATGTCAGGATCTGATTCAGAATATTGGAATTCCCTGCCTATCTCTCCGTCAGAGAGTTAATGTTAATGATATAACGTTCTTCGAAATGATTATTTTTGTCTTACAGAGCTCGCAGTTCTACCACAGATTTTTCTACTGCCACATTGTTATGCTCGTCATTTCACACAATTCGCAGTGAAAACATAATTCCTATTCGCTTAAACTTCATCAGTGCTATGAATATGAATTAGAATCATAAGGTATATGATTATATGAATATTCACGCATATGTTTACTCACTCACTACCATTTGTAATACTGAAATACAGCTGCCATTTCATATCAACATCTAGGCAGCTGTTTTAAGATTATTCCTACAATAATTAGATACTTAAAATGTTAATCAACCTAATGAATGAAGTGAATTGCCTGTAAATGAAATAGGAAATGCTATTTTAGTTTGTTCATCTCTTGTTTCCGAAGACAAAACGGGGCTTAGTATAAAGCCATTACAATAAAATTCATAAATCAATAATTTAAAACAATGATATCAGTTCTTCATTTCCATACTTTTTCAGTCTTCAAGTGCTGCTGGATTTCATCTAGAGTTTTTCCTTTTGTCTCTGGTAACACGAAATACGATATGAATGTTGACAAGATATTACAACACCCAAAAACTATGAATGGTCCATATAACCCAACAGCCTTGTTGGTTTCGTAGAATACAACATTCGCTAACAGAATCATCAGTCCAAAATTTGTTGCCGTCAAACTCACACCTTTTGCTTTAATACTTGCCGAAAACAATTCCCCCAACATCAATGTTGGAATGATACCAAGACCAAAAGAAGAAGTAACTATGAAACCCAGTAACCCAGCAAGTGGAAACCATTTGATCCCTGACAAATCGATACCGGGTTGATACTGATCGATATACAAATAAATACCTTCTATCAAGAGAACAAGACCAGAAAGCGCCAAAGATGTCATATAAGCTTTCCTCCTTCCAAAAGTATCAGAAAAAAAAGCTGACAGTGTATACAAAGAGAAACTTGTGCCCATGTAGATGATAGAAGATAGCGAGGGGTCAATGTTCCCCCCTGATTTCTCGAATATGAATTTAGTGTATGATGCAAAAACTAGCAACCCTCCAAACATCTGCGACGTTCTCAAAAATACTGCCGCTATCAATCCCTTTCTGTTCTGCTCAATCATAAACAGGTTCCTCCAAGTACCGGCCTGAACCATTTGCCTTCGTACATCAGACTTCAGTTCTTCGAACTCAGCATCAACATTATGTTTGCGTTTGAATGTCCTCAAAGATTGTCTGGCCGCTTCTTCATTTCCCTTCATCATATAGAAATAAGGTGTTTCCGGCATTAAAGAGAATACCAACACGAAAGTTACTGGCAGTGCCAAGCATATGAATGATGTGGTCTCGATGCTGAAATAATACCCAAGAACGTTCATGATGAATTGTCCCAAAAACACGGAGCAAATCAGCGCGTTACCCCATGTGCCTCTCACTTTAGGAGAAGCCACTTCTCCAATGTAAATAGGTAAAGCTGCGAACAAGATGGCGTCTCCAAGCCCACAGCTGAATCTAGCGAAGTACAGCCAGTATAAATCTTTCGAGAATGCTTTGATGATCCACGCCACAGAGGTCGGTATTGCTGAGAACATCAAGGTCTTCTTTCTTCCGAAGGAATCCGTGAATAGTATGAGGAACGGCGATAGGACGATGATGCCGACTGTGTTGAAGGTGGTGAAGTTTGAGGCTTCGTCTTGAGTTATGTTGTAGCTCTTGTCATTGATGATCTTTGGTAGAAATGGTGATGGCCAAGCGAAGAGGAGTCCACCAGTCAACGATGATAAACAGCCTGAAAGAAGATTCGATGATTTTCTATACAGGGTGATACAATTCTCAGGGAACTCACAAGACGTTTAATAGGTGATAATAGTTGATTTGAAGATCTGAAAAACGCAAGAATCAATTCTCTCAGAAACTATTGAGAGTCGAATGATTTGTTCAAATCAGCTCTAGTGAAAGTATAAATCACTGATAGTGATAATTTAGCTGATTCAAATGAAAATGCTACAGATAACATGCAGAAAATATTCAAATCAATAGCGATAGCGTATAGGATCTCTAGGAACAGTTGTTATTGGAAAGTGACAGTACATTAAAAATCGATCTTCCACATTGATTAAAATAGACTGCAATTGTTATCATGATCTGCATTACGAATTTGCATCAATCGATTTCGTGCAATGAAAAATTGGGAACTATTGACCAGTTTTGACATGACCGAATATTCTGAATCTTGATATTTCCCTATATGCATTCGATATCATTAGGGTCAAAAGTCAGAGAATTGATTTGATGGAATTGTTCAGTAACTCAAAAACATTTGTACAATCAGGCTAGCTGATCCTTGAGCACTTATTTCTTGTCATTTGCTATGTATTTCACGACCTTCACAATATATCTTCATTCAAATTATTACTTAACCCAGACAGCACCAGATATTCCATGAATCTCCCTATCGTATTCCTTTTGGAATATTGGAATATTCTAGAAATAATCTGGAATATTCCGGAATATCTGTGGAATATTCTCTAAATATGCGAATGGGAATTCCCCAGATATTCATAGAATATATTCAGAAGAATATTCTATGTTGAATGTTCCTTTTTTTTTTTTTTTTTTTTTATCGCTTGGAGCGCACGAAAGGGAATCCCTATAATGTTCAAAGAACATCGTGCGTTCCTTGGGAGGATAGGGACAGGAGGTAGGTATTGGAATTTTTTTTGAACTTTTGGAGATTATATGTTGTTGGGAATACTTCCACAGGCAATGAATTCCAGAGCCTAGCCGTTCTATGGATGAAGGAGTCTTGATAAAGTGCTGTTCGACATCTTTCGAGGTTGACAACGAAAGGATGTGCTGACTGGGCTTGTCTAGTTCGTCTGATTGGTATTGCTAGTGAAGGGATGATAGCAGAGATTTCCGAAGAACACTTCCCGTGGAAGTATCGATAGAAAAGTGAAAGGTCGCCGACCTTTCTACGATGTTCCAATGATGTCAAAGAGTGAGTGAGTGTGGCGTCACCCACCAGGCGAATGGCTCTTCTCTGGATGGAATCTAAGAGCATCAGTGTATGTTTTGGTGCTGAACCCCATATGTGGGAACAGTATTCTAGAACAGGCCGTATCTGCGCTTTGTAGATCATGAGAAGCTGTTGAGGTGTAAAGTAGCTTTTCGCACGGAACAAGAATCCGAGTTTTTGTGAAGCAGCTTTTGCGATGGATCTGACATGATTATCCCATGAAAGAGTGTTGCTAATGGAAATACCGAGCATAGATATGGTGGGCTTGGTGGGGATGGTGGAGCCAGACATTACAATATCGGGCATACTGAGTTCCGCCTTTCTAGAGAAAATGCAGGCTTGAGTTTTGGTGGCGTTGAATTCAACTAGGTTGTTTGTTCCCCAGGCTGTGATTTCAGCAAGATCTTCATTGACAGCATTGACCTGCCTGCGCCGTGAGTTCTTAGTTTCCTGGGAAGAAATTGGAATTCTAGAAGAGAACGCAGTATGGAGGGTACTATCATCTGCAAAGCTGTGGATGGGGCAAGTTGTTACTCCCAACAGATCATTGATATGAAGCAGGAATAATGTTGGTGCCAAAATTGATCCTTGTGGAACGCCGGAATTGATGCCAAAGGTATCAGACGATACACCGTCCACCACCACGTGAAGCGATCTGCCTGAAAGAAAACTCGATAAGAGATGGCATAGCTGAGGTGGTAAGCCGTATGATGGTAGTTTGTGGAGGAGTCCTTCGTGCCAAACACGGTCGAATGCTTTCGAAATGTCCAACGCGACAGCTAGAGATTCCCCGTGTTTTTCTATTGAAGATTGCCATAAATGGGTGACGTAGGCAAGTAGATCTCCAGTAGATCTTCGGTGGCGAAAGCCGTATTGTCTATCATTGATGATTCCTGAGCTCTCCAGATATTTGATAAGCTCAATATTGATGGCTTTCTCCATCACTTTGGAGATTACTGATAACAGGGCAATGGGCCTGTAGTTGTTGGGCAGGTTCTTGTTCCCTTTTTTGGGGATTGGTTGGACTCTAGCTGTCTTCCAGCATGATGGAAAAATACCCGACCTGTACGAGATGGTAAACAACTTGCAGAGAATCGGTGTTAGTTCTGGTGCACATTTTTTGAGGATAATGGGTGGAATTCCATCAGGACCGTTAGCCTTATTTGTTTTGAGACCAAGCAAAATTCGTCTGATAGTGCGTTGACGGAAGACGATTTCGGGCATTCGACTCTCAACGGGTGGAATGTCTGGCGGCAGTTTTCCTTGGGAATCTAAAGTAGAGTTTGCTGCGAACATCTCTGCAAAAATATTTGCTTTCTCCTGCGATGTTGTTGCTAATGTGCCGTCGGATTTGGACAGTGGTGGAAATGAACTATTAGTGAAATTTCTTCCGACCGCTTTAGCAAGGGACCAAAACGAACGGGAGCCATTGGGGCAATCTATGAGTTTCGATCTTATCTTGGCATTGTATGTTTCTTTCGAAGCATCTATTGTTTGGCTGCAGTTATTCCTGGCATCAACGTATTCTGCTCTAGTCGCGAGGTTAGGGTTTTTGCGCCAGCGATGGTAGGCTGTTTGTTTCAAGGCAACAGTTCTAGAACAGTTTTTGTTGAACCAGGGTTTCGAAGGTGATGATCTTTTCGAAAAATGAGGTATGTATGTGTCCATTCCGAGCATGATGATCTCGGATATTTCCGCAGCACACTGTGAAGGGTCCTCAGAGTCAAAGCATACTCTATGCCAAGGAAACTCGGAGAAAAACATGCGGAGACCGTCCCAATCTCCTGAATTGTAATGCCATATAAGACGTGGGGGTGCCGGAGCAGTTGATGGAATGAAAAATGGGCAGGTTGTGGAGATGAGTGTGTGGTCAGAATTGCCAAGTGGAGCTCGTACATCTATGGTGTAGGGTGCTGAATTATTAGTAAGGAATAAGTCAAGTATGTTAGCTGAATGGTTATTGACATCGGGAATTCGTGTGGGTTCTTTGATAAGCTGCTCTAAGCCGTGAGTGATGGCGAAAGCTTCGGCTTGTCGCCCAGCTTCATCCGTTCTGTTAGAGTGTACGAGCCAAGCAGTGTTGTGTACATTGAAATCGCCCATGATGATGATTTCTGCTGCTGGATGGTTCTGTTGGATTTGGTCAAGCTTCAGAGACAAGAATTCGAAGAGCTCTTCATAGGATGGATCATTTGGTGATAAGTAGAGACAACAAAGGAATTTGGTCTGTTTCTGGCTATCGAGTTTGAACCACATGACATCAAGCTTGTTTGGTTCCAAAGTTTTTTCTCGTTGACATGAGAGATTCGTTTTAGAGTAGAGGCAGAGACCTCCCTTGAATCTAAAACGTGTGTGGAGTTCGTACCCAGGACAGAGCAGATAGGTCGTATTGGTGGATGAGTTGACCTGTGTTTCAGTAAGAGCCAATATGTCTGGCTTTTCAATTTGAAGGTGTCGATGGACATCGTTGATGTTCTTACTCTGACCTCGGATGTTACATAGGTCTATCTTGAGGACTTTTTCAGCCGATGGTGAACCCCCTCTAGCACCTCTCGCCCGGAAATCCGAATGGAGAGGTATTTTACTTCCGGATAATTTTACTTGAGGAGAACTCATCATCGCGTATTCTGTATAAAGAAGGGAGGTTGGCGTGGAAGTAAAAGGAAATTGGGTTAGGTTGGGTTGGCCGGAACATCAACCAGCTACTGAAACACGGGTAAGTATACCCATTTCACAGTGCCTATGGTTGATGTGGTGGTATCGCACCGGGCGATGGCGTTAGCCATCTTCCACCTATTGGCGTCCTTTTAGTCGCCTTCTACGACAGGCAGGACTTACCGTGGGGTTATTCTAATCCGACCACCACACGGATGAAGGAATTGTTGGTAAAAAATAATAAATAGCCCCAAGTTTATGTACAGTTGCATGTAACCCTAGTGGATTACCAACTTCATAGTCATCATAATAATATACTATAGGAAGGACATATTCGTCTTCAACCAAAGAGAAATGTTTGATTTCATTCTGCCAGAAATGAGTTTGAAAAAAATTAATTGTTTTATCTTTCGAAGTACTCGAAGTTGAATATTCCATGTATGATAAAGTGTTTTGTAAAATATCAGGTAGTTGAAAGAAATTCTTCAAAACAACCTGGAATATTCCAATAACCTAACCTAACCTGGAATATTCCAATAAACATATTCTAAAATAAAAAAAAGTGACCCAAGTAGGGATCGAATTCGTGACCACAAGACTATCAGAGCAACGCCTTGACCACTAGGCCATTGATAGAATTGAATAATGTTGTACATATCAATTTCTTCTGAGAGCGTTGTTCGAAATCGGATCATGAATACTTTTCGTTCCGAAATCTCCTTACATCTAATTGATGTTCGATACTCACAACTCTGAAATAATGATTGGTATTTATGTGTTGAGAAACATAGGAATATTCATGGAATATGTCATGAATCTACACCACAGAACATTCAGTTGGGAATATTTCATAAATATACAAGAGAGAATATTCATTTCATATCTGAATATTCCCTGAACATATCCGACTATTCACTTTGGAATATTCCTTTTAGATGTTCCAGAGGCATGTATATATTCTAGGAATAATCGATGAATATTCGGGATATACTCCTCCTTTTTAGTATATTTAGAGAATATTCTAAAAATATCCAGTGCTGTCTGGGAAAAGAGGTATGAATAATGATAACAGGAGATTAATCTCATGCAATAACTATTTTAGTTAGGAAAAAGTATTCAGGCTTACGAAACACATTCGAATTGATTCATTTTTTCACGAAAAACCATATCCCACAAATCACATACATGTATACAGGGTGCTAATGTTACACGAATCGAATAGGTACATATTGTTTGGTTTGAAATGAGAATAATGAAAATAAAAGAGTATTTTGAATTGACTTGGCCGTTACTTGATGGAAATCCATGGCAATTGTAAAAACTTCACAAACGATAAGATTTCCACTTTCTTAAACACACGGCATGTTTCGCTAACACAGTAGCTTCGTACCAATATATCACCTGTGTTTGATAATTTTATGGAAATCTAATCATAAAAGAGTAGTTCCGGACCTACGTTTATATGAACTTTCCCTTATATTCTGAGGCGAAGAACCTGACCTGGAAGTTTCGTGCAACATTATTGAAATACCATATCTGTTACATCACAACCTATCAGATTTTGGGTTTTCCAGTTTATTTAATTTTAATATCAATTTTTGTCTTTATAACTCCCGTTATCAGCAAAGGTCCTTCGAATATTATCGATATTTTCTCAATTCTCTACGAGAACTATTTTATTTGGCAAGAATATGAAAAAAAATACGGAGTAATAAAATCACGATTCCGTAGGATTAGTAATTCCGTTTGTTTGAATGAGTTTACCTCAAATAAAAAGGTTTGAGTGATGCAAATAAAAAATCATCGGATAAAAGTTGAGGGTCGAGTTATATTTGGGTAGATTATTTTTGTCACGAGTCCAAGTAATTGTAGATACTTCTATTGTGTTAATGTTTGATAAATTTTGAAGCATTTCGCTCACGACCGAAAATTCTCTCTAGGCTTGGTTCGTTCAGATTATTTGTTGCATCTTGTCAGCAGACGTTGGTATCTGGTGTGCACGAATTCAATCTGACCTGGAATGAAGCATTTAGAGACATGACGCGAAGAGACAGGGCGCAACAAATAATCTGTGTGGAAACAAGTTGACAAGAAATTTCCAGCCGATCCTGAAAAATAATATCATTAAAATGGCGAATCACTATCGGAGGAAGCAATGAAGCAATCCTTATCACATGGATTATTTGTTGAGAGATTTGTTGTAAAACATCCTATTGCACGATGCTCAATGCTTCATTTCAGGTCAGATTGAATTCTTGCATCTGGTGTCATCACTGAACTACAAGCTAAGAATGTTATTGTTCATATTCATGGAAGGGATAGTTTTTATTCAGTCCAGTAATAATTATCAGTATTATTGATTCAATAATCACACATATATTGGAATATAAGAAGATATTAACGCAGGTAAAAAAATAGTTTTGAACTATAACCTAGTAATTGTTTGTGAAGGAAATAGGTCGCGTGCAAGAACTGTCAGATGACCGACCCTGGAGGCAAAACATATTTGTTTACAAGTGATCGAAATAGTTTTTCACAATTATTTTGGCATATGAATCGTATTTTTCCGCTATTCATCAATTCGCTAATGCCATCACATTGTGCTGTTGTAAAATGCACAAAAACTGCAGTGGAAGATGAAGAAATCCGGATGGTACATTATGATTCAAAAGTAAGTACCTACTATAGTCACTCACATAGTTTTCATTTTTGAAATTTGGTTATTTCTCTGATTTCTCATCGGAATTCCTTCTGCAATAGGATCAGCTAATAGAAATATACCTGAAATTTCTAGAATAATGCAAGAAGATTGGATTCATGCAATCAATCGGTAGGACTGGTCTGACATGCTGACGATCGTGTGTGTTGTAGACATTTTCAATCTATTAGCAGCATTAGCTTGTATCGCAGAAGTGACAGAAGGCAGAAGGCATTTTAATAAGGAATGACAACATTTCATAATGCTAACTATGTGAGATTACTATTTACCTGAAAAATCATATTCCCTAGTCTCTTGCTGCATTTTTTGTGCATTGTACAACAGCACAATACGAAGGCATGCTTGAATTAATGAATAACGCAAGAAACACGATTCGTATGCCAAAAAATGGTGAAAAACTATTTCAACCTTTTGATTCCTCTGTAACCAAATAAAAAAGTGAGGTTGTGTTTCAATAATCCACAGAAGAATGAGGTTGTGTTTCAATATTTTGCCTCCAGGGTCGGTCTTCGTGCACGCGACCTATAGTTTTTATTCAGTCTAGTTAGTGATAATCATTATTGATGCTAATAATTTTTGATTCAATCATCACATGAAAATGAGAGAATTAACACAGTTGTGTCTTTATTCCTCTTCATTTATAGTTTTAGTAAATTATCGGGGACCATGCAATGATTGGCGAGAGAAACGGATTGCTATGGTTGAAACAACGGTAACGTCACTTGTTGACATGTGGGAAGAATGAACATCATTATTTCATTAATTCTAGTATAGGTAGCGAATTTTTCAAACCATACCTAATAATATTGCCAATATTTGAGGCCATTCTTTCCCGTCGTCATTTTTCTGGGCACTCTTGTCTTCCTCACTCACTGACATATTCATAAACAATGAACTATTTTAGAATTACAACCATTAAATTGATACAATTAAAAAGCATGATTGTTATCTATTCCTTTTAGATTTCGCGCGGAGATGTCTCAATTTTATTCTTTCACGTATATTCAATCTGCGCCTATATACTATCTTGTTTTTTAACTGCTTTGAATTGATGACTGAAGGAATGTTTTAATTTTTGCTATATTTATACTGATTAATTATTCAAGTTCATGGCACGATATCTCTTTTATTTATCAGTATATCCTTTATAGATAAACTGTTACAAAAGGGTGATACGCACGTCTGATGAAATAATTTTAATAATAGAACACAAAATCTGAGGCTCTGATTGGACTAGAATTGACCGTAAGAAGATTAAACCAAGAGGCTTCAGCAGATCCCATGGTATAATGATTTTCTTTTTTCTATATACGAAAAAAAACATTTCATCTGTGCTGATAGGTTATAAAATGTCACTTTTCATGAATAACTTTTTTCCCAAGGGAAGAATGTGAGTACTTTTTTCCTGGGTATATACACTGTTGATGGCTTATGTTGTGCTATTTCCAAAAAATAAGCCAATAAAAGTCTTTGAGAAAGTACTGCAGTTCTTTTATCTTCCATTCCACTCCGCGGTTACGCAAATTACTGATGAATCACTAAGTTCGCAATTTAAAAAAATCTAATGACAGAATCTAAGAAGAATAACTTCAAATTTCACGTCGATTCGCACTTTTTCCTGTCACAGAAAAAAAAAACAGTGTATTATACACGGGAAAAATATTAGATTTTAGCTCACGGTTTTTTGTCTCCCTCCGCTACGCGTCGGGAGACAACACAAACATTTCATACCCATGCTGGAGATATAGATACACCTCATTATAGTTAAGTATTCTCGTCTTGATCAGGAAAGCATTTTTGAATAATCACGGCCAGCAATAGTTTTTTGAATCAAACAACGACATTGCTTACCTCAATTTGATCATCAAGCCGAACACAGTGGAGTATGGAGAAAAATGAATAATCGCTATTATTATTGTTGATATTGTTACGTTATCCAGGTGCAAAAGCGAACACGGCACTATTTATATCGAACTTATATATATAAGTACTATTTATGTGAAATGATTTATATCATATCTGACACTCGCTGCTCGACTACTGACGGCAGTTGTCCGGCCGTCCTTATATATGAGATCCCTTGGTAGGGTTTGCTTCTCGATCGTTCTCGAATAATCTTCCGTATCCTTCTTTTTGTTCTAGAAGCTTCTTAGAACAATATCTTTCTCTCTAATTGTTCCATCGATTGTTTCCAGAATATTCCAAGATCTTTTGTCACGTTATATGCTTGGTTATATGTCACCGCAACATATATTGAGTGTTCGGAAATAGGCTGGAACATGTAGGAATCATTGGGATGTTGGAGAACAATCTGGGATGCGTGTTACAGGATGATCGTTGTACTCCTGCCTTCCTGATGATGTTTCTAGAGCCCCTCTAAGGGGAATATCATGACAATATGCTCCCTAACCTATAACATTTCCACGTCTCCTTCCTATACATGGCACTGGCGTGAAATTCGCCATTAGGGCCCCTGGTCCATATACAAATATGTCACTCTGTGGTTGTATTTATATTCAAACTACAATTCGAACATCCTTGATAGTTTAATAAACCTGCTCTGTAAATGCAGGTAGAATACACGGATTATTTGTGGCATTGCATTTCATTGATATTGGCTCCGTATTGGCCCAATATCGAAAATATTGGGACAATATGGGGCTAATACCCAGCCAAGATTATGTGCTATTGGGGATGGTACGGTATTGGTAGTTACTTCACATATTTATAAGAGGTAATTGTTCCGGTTGCAGAAAAAAATCATGTTTCATTCGCAAAATTTGCTTTCTCTCTGCTTCGCTAAACGCTCCGCCTATATCAAATGCAGAATTCGCCTGTCAAACAAAGTGTCACTTTTGATCCTAATGAAACAATCTACTATTGATCAAAATAAGAACTGATATTGGATCAAAAATTTAAAAAAAAATACCAAAAACTCAACTTGGTGAGGGGGGTAGAGGCTGCTTTATGATACAGAGTATAAAAATATCGTATGTAGAATTTGAATCTAGAACAGCCTGTGAAATTGAACTCAAGGATTCAAATCATAAATCTTTACTCAGAGATAATAATTATTTCAAGCATCGAAAATAATGTATCAATTTTATTGGCTGACATCATAATTTTCAACCGGCAAACAATGTACCAAATGCTCTTTCTATGATGATTATCACTATTATAACAATGCAGTAATCTCTCCTATGATTACACACTTATTAGTGGTAATTAAAGAAAAAAGCTTGATTTCACTGAAGATTATAACTGTTTCTTCCCGAGGCCCTCGAAATTGATTATAGGTGTCCATATTAACAACTTCATATCGGAGAAAAAACGCAGTCTCTATTGAAAAAATGATAGTGAGCATCATTAATATAATAAAAAAACATGATTGGTTCCATATAAAATTTGACCAATCATGAAAATAAATTTTGTACAGAGTGGTTTCAACTTTCACATGAGTGTGAACTTATTCTTCGAATAAATTTGGATGTTTTCTTTTCAGCTTCTTCATATTCATAACGACAATGAGAAAACATATCCACGATGGAATGAATCACTCGAAGAAATTCAGAACTGATTGATGCAAAATAGGTTATTTTGGTAGGTTTTGCCTCCAGTATTGCCCTCTTACCTATACTGAGTTCAACCAAATATTGATCTGACATTGAGAAAGGAAATTTCAATTGGCAATGAAGTTATAAAACATTCATTTCGGTAACTCGTCATTTTTTAAAGAATATTTCAGACTTCTGAGATGCGGCAACATTGCTAACACAAATGTTGGAAAGAATTGGAGTTCCTAGTAGTCATTTGAATCAATATCACAAATTATCATCGAGTTATAACATCTTATATGGAATTTATCTTATTTTAATATGAATTATTGAATTCATTTGTACGATGGCTAGTACAGGGTCTTCATGAAATCTCGTACCACACGTACCCAAATTTTGAAATTGCCACTGAAAGTCATCGTTCTCATATTTGTAGCTATGGAATATTAGTAAACCAGTGTTGTGATGACTTACTCTAGTCCCGGTAATTCAAAATAATGTATCATGAAACTGTCCTGTAATTTCCATTATTCAGATCGACAACTGTGTACTAAACAACCATTTCCTATTCATTAGCGATGAGCTTTCTCGAATATTTCTGTAAATCTTTTGCACTTCACCATCGAAATTATCTAAACAGTTCTCTTCAGGACTCTGGAATAGTTTATAAATATTGAGGTAAGCTGAATAAGTTATTTCTGTCTAATGGATTATCAGGTTTATTTACTTTGTAGAATCTTAGGTTAGAATGGTTTTCACACCAGAACAAGATGGATTCACTTTGATCGCACGCTTCCGCATTGTTAATGTGGATTTATGCAGCATCAATAATCTACAATTATCAAGAAACAATTATCAATTAACAATTATCAAGTAAGGAGTAGCTTAAATGTTACATTTCATGCATACCAAATAAACAAGAAAAAATAAGAAATACGCAGGCGCAAAAGTCCATTTCAAGTCATTCAAGATAACCATGGAACATTTTTTTTTATAATATATTAGACACACTTTTGGGATATGCTATCACAACTCACAAGTAGGGCCAATAACCAAACCGATTTGTGAACGCTTATATTGTGCCAAAAGTTCCAGTCTCCGATATAAATCCTCATGGAGGAAAAGTACATTTTATATAATATATTCCCTTTCATGCGCTGCAACAATGAGAATACCATTTCATGTGTGTGTGATACATGATATGGGTACTAACTTTGTGGGACCAATTATCATGGAATAAACACATAATTGAAATCATCAAACTTGTAACCTTCAAATGCATTGAGTGTAGAACAAATGAAATTAAATTAGTCCTAATAAATCTACATTATTATGTCTGTTTTCTTTCAACGATATGATACACATTTCATTTGCTCACTTTTTTGAGTTTATAGGTTCCATATGATTTCATAATCTTCGCAATGAAGTGATAATAAATTTAAAACAATGGCACGAAAACGAAACACAAACACCAACCTTGGAATGTAGGTGAAGGTACTTATCTATAAAAGATTATAGACACTAAAATGTAGTATGTTCATCAACGAAGTAAGCTATTAATGAAAACGTTTTGAATCAAAATATTCCAAATTTGCATGAGATCAAAAACAAATAGTTTCGCATTTAAAACAATCTCCAGCTTTGATACTCTAATCTAATTAAACACAGAGAAAGAACTTCATTGGGGATCTTCCTATAATGAACTAATGTTTTGGATGATTACTACCTCAGCTTAACAGTGAAATAAACTTTGTCGATACCACATCGTCAATTCAATTTATGAGAGAGATATTGTGGCTATTTTGGATATATTATCGATAGTTATCATTGTTTTTTATATTATCAGGACCATATTTTTCCAATATAAGAAATCTCTGTATAACTACCGCGAGAAAAGAAAATATCTAAGTGGCAAAGAAACGTAAACACATATTCGAAATAACAAAAATTTTATGCTTACACATTTCGCAGACGATGTATCCTATGGTATGATTATTCACGGAGAAAAAAAATCACTAACCCTAAGTGAATATTTAATAGTGGTAAGTAAAAACTTGTATACTATATGGGACAAGGAAACAAGTTAATAATCACTAGAATATTTGTGTTCCTGAAAATGTACACCTACCACTATTGACCTGTTTCATTAAATTTCAGAGTGATAACGGTTAGTGAACACATCACTTGTCATCAGTGACCTATTCAATTGTCATTAGTAACTCATTCACTTTTCATTAGTGACTTGTTCACTAGTCATTAGTGACTTGTTCACTAGTCATTAGTGACTTGTTCATTAGTCATCAGTGACTTGTTCACTAGTCATTAGTGACT